ACCAAGGGGAAAGGTTAGTGTATATGTGAAGCCTTTGGAAGCTGCTCATCCAACACATACAGCTTTATTTTCAAGGTCAGTGTTCAATATTTTCAGTCATTTAATCATATACAGCACGAGAGAGTAATGAGAGTTCGGTAGTGTTGGATGACCCACTACAGATGTAGTAGATTAAAAGGCACTAATCCCCACTGATTCCACACTCCTCTAGCAGTTCGGCAAAAAAGAACATTCTCAAGCTGGAGATCTTTAAAAAAATCCTCACCAATGCTGGACTGCTCAAATAAAATGCTATACTTTAAGGAATTCCTGGCTTTGGAGAAGTCGATGGAGAAGCGAACAAAATTAATTCAATGCATTTCTTGTCCTTCTTCCACATTTCTACACTTCTAGCTAAAATTACAATTGTGCAAGTTTCATGTTTACTTTTGAGATATAGGATTTTAAAGAAAACAAATCAGTTACTGTTTTTCTCTTAACAGATTGCAGATTAGAGGAATTTAAAGCATTAACAGTTCATCCATAAGACCTAGGATGACCAAGTCAAATGGTAATGCAAACTCTTTTCATGTTTTTCAAGTTTTAATAGGAAGGGAATACATACACATGTTAAGTTTAACACTAATGAATGTTAATTGAGTACTCTAAAAGGAGCTTTGTCACAGTTTTTAAAAAAAAAAAATTTGCAGAAAACTATACGTAACAGAGGAAAAATGTTTGTGTACCACACTATACAGAAACTTATACTCACAAATCTAAGTAATGAAGTGTATAAATTCATTAAAATTGCACTTTTGCAAACATCATAGCAACTTAGCTTTTCATTTGTTCCTAAATGTGAAAGTGGAGGCAAAAAGTAAACTACAAAATAAGAATACAGAAAATTGCAGGTACCATCAACTTCTATCAAAAAAAATGATTCTGCCTATTTAATATAATGTGACACATATAGTAAACCTGGCACAAATATCTGTCTTTTCTTACTTGAAAAAAAAAAAAAAAGTGAATTTATTTTTGCTGGCAGGATGATATGGATGAAATAACCAGGAGGAATTGAGGGGGGAAGGGGAGAAAGAGGAGCCAAGAAATCAGATACATTCAGTGAGCCTTCAAACTCACTTCAGCAGTAGGGATAAATAATTTAATCAACTCAGCTTCATTCTTTTTCTTCCTACCTCCCTAGTGCAATAGGCAGATATTAAAAAATAAAACTTTAAAATTCATGAGCAGTTGTGTATGGAAGAACTATGACTATATAATAAGAAATATAAAGTGATATCCATGCAAGCCCTTTGTGTAGATATGCATCTGCATTTTAACTCCCACTTTTCACCACGAGAAATTATTGGTTAAACTTATATGTATGGTAACTTTCTTTTTTTCCCTTTTTTTTTTTTTTTTTATTTTTCTTGTTCCAATTGCATTTTGGGGATGTGGGTGAGTACCCGTAGCCAAAGATTTTCAATACCACTTGGCTTTTCGGCTAATGTGAGCACCACATGACAAGGCACTGTAGTTTGAAAGATTTGAAATAACAAGCAGAGTTCAACAAATACTGTTATAGTACCCCCTAATTAGGGGAAATATCCAGAAAACAGCAATTTGGTAAAAGTCACCAATATCATATGGTACCATTATCATGACAAATGATCAATCATCACTTTAATGAGATAATTTTAATCCCAATTTACCAAAGCAACTTGTTAGTCAATAAACTCAATAAAAATAAAATTCAGTGCTGAAAAGGTGTTCCTTTTATAGTTTACAAAGAACACATGAATAACTACAGAGAAAAATTAACTGCAGTAAGAAGTCAGAAACTTTGAAAAATACCCATATTTTTATATCATATACATAATATAGATAATTTTCAGCATCATTTCAATCAAGCCACTGACTTCTCTCTTGTTAAACGACCGGGTCAACTCAGCAGTCACATTTCAGTGGTTGACTGGTGTCAGCGATGCCTAAATCCACAAATTTTCAAACTATCAAATGTTTGTTGTATATGTGTGAAGTGAAATGAAATGATGTAGCAAAGGGTGACCTTCGGTGCTAAAGATCTTCAGCGAAGGCTAAAGCTAGTGTTTCCCATAGCCACCAAGATACAGTAAACACGTATAACCTGTGTTACTTGACATCAGAGCTTAATCTTAGCATTACACATTGAAAGCTATGATTCAGGATATAAGATGTAATTTTTATCTAAATTAATTTTGCCGCATTATGAATATTACGACTTTTGGCAGCTTAAAGGTACGACCTTTCCACTTTTGCCTCTAGCAACTGAAATTACCAAGCTAAAACCCACCCAGCAAAAATAAGAAAAACCTGGCCCAGAACACTCCCATGGCTTAAGTGCAGCTCTGAGGCGGCCGCAACGCTGGGAAGTTGAGGCGTGCTCCCTCCACAGGAAAGGGCTGTTCCCTCGGCGAGGAAGGGACAACCTTTTGTCCGCCCGCTGTAACTTTCGGTTTTACCCGGCGTTGGTCTGTGACCCCGCAGGAAAGGGGCTCTTTAACATTTACATCCCAAGAAGCCGTCCCCGATACGGCAGCGCCAGAGGTTTGAAGCCGGACAGCTGCGAGTCCCAGGAGCCGCCGCCCAGGGCGGGAACTGGGGCCTGGGACGGGGCCGCAGCGGGCCTTCCCCGCACCAGTCGGTTCCCGAAACCCGCCCGCCGCAGTTGGTCCCAACTTGACCGCTTTTCCCTCCCCCGCACGGGCGGGCCGAGCCCCGCTGCAGCCAACGCCGCCCCGCGTCTGAGGGCAGGGCACGACCGGCATCGCCCCCGGCCCCGGGGGGCGGGCTGGGGTCGTGCCGGGCCCCTTCCTCGGGGCAGCTGGGAGGGATGCGCCGGGCCGGCGAGGTGCCTCCCCCTGCCCGCCCGCCGACGGGGCCCGCGGCGGTGCCGCCGAGCCAGCGGAAAGACGAAGAGGGGGAAGAGGGCAGACCTTCGCCCCTGCCGCGGCAGGTTCCCCGCGCAGCCGGGGCAGCCGCCGGTAAAAGCGGCGGGGAGGCGCCCGCCTGTCCCCGCGGAGCCGGCCCAGACCTCTCTAAGTGCCTGCTCCGGGAAGGCGAGGGCAGCCGGCTCCCGGGAGCCCGCAGCCCGGCTGCCGCTCACGCCGCCGCCCCGCAGGGGAGGAGGGAGGGAAGGAGGAAGGCGGCAGTCCCAGACCCCGGGTGCGGCGGCGGCCGCGCTCCTCGGCGGCCGATCCGGAGCAACTGGGACCGGGCGTTCGGGGCCGCTTCCACCGCTGGACCCGCCGAGGCCGGGGGGAGGCACGCGTATCCCTCCCGGCGCCTGGCCGGGAAACTAACCGGAGAAAACTCGGGAGGAAACTACCTCCTCTCCGCCCGAAACAGCCAAAGAGCAGTCGCCCTTCTCCTGGCAGCTTCGGGGCTGCGGCTGGGAGGAGGAAAAGCTTCCGCGGGAAGACCTGTCACCTGCAGCTTTTCAGCTACAGCCCCAGCCCTGCTCTACTCATGGGGAGGAAAAGATTCCGGTCAGCTTCCTCCTCTGGACCGGCACGGGAACACCCACACAACCGCCAGACCGTGGGAGCCAAGCGCACAGTCACAAATTCTCCGCTTTGTGCAATAAAGTTGGTCGCATTCATACGCTGAAAAAATATCATGAAATGTTCTTTGTGGTATGACTTCTCAGCGACGGATGTATCTGTGACAGTTACTTTAGGAACTGGTAATCGGTCAGTAGATTAAAGATTCCAAGCGCTCAAAAGCTATGCTGTTTTGTTTTTTTTTCCTTAAATATATATTTAAAATTTAGTGTTCTCTTGAAGTGAAGCTCAGTAAATGCTGCGAAGCAGAGGAGTTTACAACTCCATCTTATTTGCAAACAAAGGTCCCGATTACAAACACCTAAAGTACCGAAGGGGAAATTTGCTAATTACACATCACCCAGGCGAAACCCCAAACTGTCAGACAAGCAAGCCAGCACGTTTGCAGTCGCTAGCGTGCCTCCCGTGTGCACATTTACTAAGCGCAGCTTGCTAGCAGAGCTCTCTATACGATAAATCCTCCAGGTTTGAAATTAAAAAATACTGAGCCTCAAAAAGCAGCTGAACATCCACTCTTCACAACATATCGGAGCGCAATACAGAATACAAAAAACGAAGCTAAGAATTGGCAAATGAGGTTTACCGTCCGTATCTGCTACTTGATTTCTGGAGGGAACGTGAAAAAGACCTGACAGATACGTTTAGCGATTGATTCTCCCTTCATAAGGTACAAATACAAAACCAGGCAGAGACAATGCCGAAATGCGTTAAACTTCAAAATCGATTAGAGCCCGTCAGAAGATCTTTTAAAACAATACAAATCGTGGACTTCTGCGTAATATTTTATTCCAAAGAACACTAAATTTGCCGTGAATCCGCTCCCTTGCTCATTGGCCGGTTCACGAGAGAAAAAAAGAAAAGAAAAAAAAGAAACAAAACCAAACAAAACCAACAACTTCTCGCTTGCAGTTACAGACAACTATCAGGAGGAAAAGGACAGCATGATGTGACGCCAAGTGGGAGTTAATGAATTTACGCCTGTGCTCCTGCCGGAGCCAGCCCGGTCTGTAGCTCCCTAGTTGATGGATGCCCATTAATACACCTGCATTCACGTCCCGGCCATGGGGAGGCACACAGGGATTCACTGCGGAGCGGCACAGTTTTGCCAAGTCCTTTCGAAACGTTAATACCCTTCAAGTTACACCCAAAGGAGAGCGATTTCTCTTGATTTCCGAGCGTACAGAGGACCGGGGCGGGTTTTCAGCCAGTAACCTTCTACCTTCCTATATGTGCCTGCGTGTGCGTGTGTGTGTGCGTGTGGCTGTGTATACATATCTATCTCCTAGAGTGGGATTAATTAGCCGCGTTTGAGCTGAAAGAGGCTGCAGTGACGAGCCCAGTGGCGATTGGCCGCCCGCCTGCCTGGCCCTGCCTTTATAATTTCCACACGAGTGCATCTGGGCTCTTATACAAACCAAGAGCCAGCTTCTTCTGACATACACACACGGCACTTTTTTTCCACCAACTGATTAACCGCCCTGCATACACACGGTGATTACCACGGGAAAACATAAATAAATACGAAGAGGTTTTATTATTTTGACTACTGGAAGCCTTGCTGTGTCTCAGTGCAACTTTTGTTTTTTCTTGCTGCTGGGAAAGGTGCCGCTCTCGATGCTTTCCTCTCTCTCACGGACCCTTTAAAAAAAGGGGAAGGAAAAATATCGCCCCCTCCAGTCCCCCGCCCGCTCCCCCTCCCTCCCCCGCCACACACACTTCAAGACGGCTGATCTAAAAAAGCAGGAAGAGAGCATCTGAGGAGCAGCAGCCCCGGCGCATTTTGAAAAACATTTGTTACATTTCAGAGTGCGGCAGCCTGTTTCTCCTCTGAAGTTGGCTCCAGCCTTAGCAGCCGCATTGGATCCCACAGCCTATTGCGAGACTCCGGTATACAATCCGGATCTCTGCCCCAACATGATCGCGGCCCAGGCCAAGCTGGTGTATCATTTGAATAAATACTACAATGAGAAATGCCAAGCGAGAAAAGCTGCCATCGCCAAAACGATCCGAGAAGTCTGCAAAGTGGTGTCGGACGTACTGAAGGAGGTGGAGGTGCAGGAGCCTCGTTTCATCAGTTCCTTGAACGAGATGGACAATCGCTACGAGGGGTTGGAAGTCATCTCCCCCACGGAGTTTGAAGTCGTGCTGTATCTGAACCAAATGGGGGTTTTCAACTTCGTGGACGACGGCTCCTTGCCGGGCTGCGCTGTGTTAAAGTTAAGCGACGGCCGCAAGAGGAGCATGTCCCTCTGGGTGGAGTTCATCACGGCGTCTGGCTACCTCTCCGCTCGCAAAATCCGGTCCAGATTCCAGACTCTGGTGGCTCAAGCCGTGGATAAGTGCAGTTACAGAGACGTGGTAAAGATGGTGGCGGACACCAGCGAAGTGAAGCTGAGGATCAGGGATCGGTACGTCGTGCAGATCACTCCGGCTTTCAAGTGCACAGGGATCTGGCCGCGGAGTGCTGCCCACTGGCCGCTTCCCCACATCCCCTGGCCAGGACCCAACCGGGTGGCGGAGGTCAAGGCGGAAGGCTTCAACCTCTTGTCCAAGGAGTGCCACTCTCTGGCCGGCAAGCAGAGCTCGGCCGAGAGCGATGCCTGGGTGCTGCAGTTCGCAGAAGCCGAGAACAGACTGCAGATGGGCGGCTGCAGGAAGAAATGCCTCTCCATCCTCAAAACCTTACGGGACCGTCACCTTGAGCTGCCGGGCCAGCCCCTGAATAATTATCACATGAAGACTCTGGTTTCCTACGAATGCGAAAAGCATCCCCGCGAATCGGACTGGGACGAGTCATGCCTGGGGGACCGGCTCAACGGGATTTTATTGCAGCTCATCTCCTGCCTTCAGTGCAGGAGGTGCCCCCACTACTTCTTGCCCAACCTAGACCTCTTTCAGGGCAAACCTCACTCGGCCCTGGAAAACGCAGCCAAACAAACGTGGCGACTGGCCAGGGAAATACTAACCAACCCGAAAAGTTTGGAGAAACTTTAGAGGGTAACTATAAAACCGGCCTGACCGATAAATCTGCTAATTTCCCGATGAAGTTTAAGCTGCCTATCCGAAAAGTCAAATATTTCCACTTGACAAAGTAAATAATATTCTCTTTTAAAAAGGAATATAGCTTAGGCTCTTCACAAAGGAAAAAAAAAAAAGTAAATGAGAACAGCAAGCATCGTTCCTCTTCTTCACGGTTTTGCAGTTCCCGGGGGGTGGGGTGGGGGGGGTGGGAGTGAAGGAAAAAAAAAAAGAAAAAAACCGGAAAGTGTTACCTGGAAAAGAGAATTGGTCGTAATTTAACATTACTGTGACCATTCTGCCTAAAAATGGTACCAACGGATAACAAAACCTAGTATTTTTATGTAAACCCTCTGTGAGTAAATGCTATTTGGATATGCCACCTGAACAAACCCTAATGTACCTTTTAATTTGTATCAAATATTGTGATCTCACATTGTCTTTGAAGTTGTGGATGTTGGTGTTTTGTGATTTGGTGAACAGAAGTTAAATTGCCATTTTGGATACTTCAAGGACATTTTCTGCTAAAGAGAAGATATCATTAAAAAAGGTAGATTTTATCACAGTACTTTTGTTAATTGTCTTTTGAAGTGTCTGAACTTAACAAGTTTACATTTTTTGTTTCATATATATTGCTTGTTCTATTTCTAACATTCCATAAATATACTTGAAATGTTATTTAAATATATTCAAAAGAAATTTGGATTCTGCTTATATAATAATGCTTGAATATTGGAATTATATATTTGAAAATGCACTTGAAATACACTGGATAATTACCTTTTGTGATTTAGATTTTAATTTCTGTTGCTGATTTATTTAATTACAAGCTAATAAATGAAGTAAAATGCATATGGGTAAGTGTTTCAATATCAGATCAAGTTTTCTACTTGAAAAACCAAAGGCAGCTATGTTTAGCCGCTTTTGCCTTTCTGTGGACAGTTGCTTAAATCCTGTAAAGCGAAAACTTAAGGGCAGGCGCCTGATTTTGCATTTTGAATAGTTTCATAGATTAGGGAAATATTCGTGGTACAAACATATTATAATTTAGCTCTAGGTGACCATCAGCAACTGTCAGACACCAACGTGGTTATTAAATGCAATTACAGTTTTTCAGCTGTCAGGAAACAAATCTGCTTTTGAAGGGTTTACTATGCCGTGCTGATGTGTTTCTGTTCGGATTCAAACAAAGCTGAGGACACACAACATATCCGTGAAGCAGTGTATTGGGTAAGCAGTGGGCCTGATAAAACTAGCAATTTGGTACAGGTACTAATAAAGAAGAAAATAAAATTTATAGGTGGAAGCCGGCACCAATAAAATGAACAACAATATTACTTCTGACCTACAAATCCGTTACGAATGTGGTAAAATTGCCAGTTGCACTCTCAGAAATCAAGTCCCTGCGCTCCCAGGGCATTCAGAGGGAATAACATGTGCGTGCCTACAAAACTGCAAACGATCCAAACCCGTCTGTCCGTATCGCACCGCCTGCTCCCTCTCAGGATGCATTTCTTTAAAGCGGCTTTTAAATCAAAACTCAAAATAACAACGCGGATTTTGATTAGGATCCTAACAGTCAACAAGTGCTGAAAGAGGTCGATCGCCTATGTAACACCCATTAGCAACTACTTCCAGAGGGTTCACTTCAGGGAAATCGTTATATCCAGAGATTCTGACAGAAACTTTTTACTTTTCCTGGGAAGAAAGTCCCGAGTTTGACAAATTATTCGCCAAAGAGAAATCACCTTATTGCAAACATTCAGACGAGGAATTTTCTTGGAAATTATCTATGATATTTCTGCATTAAAAAACAAAACAACCCTTTGTAAAAGTACTGCCCTATTTCCTCTCTGCCAACATTTTCCAGTGCAATAGCAAAGAAATAAAGCAAAAGCGATAAGAATAAAAAGAGATGTAGACGAGAGGAGCGCCCTGTTAGACACGTCCCTTCCGTCTGCCCCCTCCCCCCCCCCCCACCGTGGCAGCCCTTGCGCCGTTCCCGCGGGGAAAAACCCACGCAAAGGTTTCCGCTGAAGTCACGCACCCCTGCTCTGTTGCGGCTGGGCTGCAGGTTTTCATGGAGGGGAGGGGAAGAGGGAGGGGGGCGGCGCTGGGGCATTGGTAGTAGTAAATGACTTCAGAAAGAAAAAGCTTTCCCAAGAACCAAGTCCTAGAGTCCATGACTATTTCCACCCCCACCCCTCCCCTCAATTTTTTTTCCCCAGAAAATAAGCATTAACTTGCATTTCAGCAGTCAGAGAGTTTACAAAATGCGCCGTATTTTCTTACATGGCAACTAACATTCTTGAAATAACGGGATTCTCCGATATCCTCGGAAGGGGTAAAACCCTCCACTGTGTGTCGGGAAGGCTACGGGCTGGGACTGCTGCTCCCTCCAGGGATTTCAGAGCAATTGGCTTAACTACTAAATCTGACCACGTTCATACAAAGGCACCGCGCGAAATGCTGCTGGAAAACGTGCACGCTGCCGTAATAGAGGATTTAACATCATTAATACATTGCGCCTTTTTTTTTTTCTTTTTTTTTTTTTTTTTTTCCTTTCTTATGCAGCGAAAAGCGGCAGACCGGAGCGGAGTTTCGAAGGAGGGGTCGGCCACGGCGCACGTGTGCCGAGACCGGGGACCGGGACCGGGACCGCGACCGCCCGCCCGCCGCACTCACCTTGGGGTCGATCTTCTTGAAGGCCGAGTCATCCTCGTCCACCTCGAAGTAGATCTCCGTGGTGGTGATGGAGAGCGTCCCCTTGGCCACCACCACGGGGGCGATGAGCTGTGCCGGCGTGCTGAGGACCACAGGGCCTGCAAAAGCAAGGGCAGCGGCGTCAGGTTGGAGGCGCCCAGCCGGCCCATCCCTGGTGGCCCTTCCCCTTCCCTCTGCCGAGCCAGCGCCCGGCGAGCCCCCTCATAAACCCTGTTTGTAAACCGCCGTGTTTATTCCCCCCTGCCCGCGGCCAGCTCTTTGAACTCTGTGGCCGGGGCAGAAGCGAGTTTTTGAGCTCCGGGGTTGTGAGATAAATCACAGCAGCGAAATTTAGAGGGGTTAGGGTGAAAAACAGCTGCCTCTTAGAAGAAGGTCCCCTCTCTTTTAATGCCCTTTTGATCCTCGTTAACGCTATCGCTGTTTATGTGCGATAGCGGCGGCTCATTCCACGCAGCTTCGACCTGGCAGAGCAGGGTCCCCATGGCGGCCGGGCCGAGTCGGGGATGCAGGTCAGGGCAGTCCGCAGCCCCTGCCCGCCACACCGACCCTGCAAGGCTAGCAGCATAATTTTTAACTCTGGGTCCAGACATCAACTCCGAAAGTAATGCGAAATATCGTGGTGTGGGGTTTTTTTGTTTGTTTGTTTGTTTTGGTGTTTGGTTGGTTTTTTTTTTGGGGGGTGGGGTTGGTGGTTCGTGTTTGTGGGTTTTTTTAAATAATTTATTTTTATTTACACCTACTTCAATACCCCACGCAAACAGAGGCTAGCATCGTTAAATATTTACGGAAAGATCATTTTTGTTTCAACTCCCTGCCGCTTATCCATTTAAAATTACTGTTACAATATTTTGCTCAAATATATTCCTTATGAGACGTTTTCACGGGCATTGAAAAGATGGGATGGGGAAAACCTGTTGTAAAAGGCAGCCTTGTCCACACAAATTGTTAGGTCTTAATTCAGGAAAAAAACCACCCAAACTTCCGCTTTAATCCAAAAAACAACAGAGGATTGCTTTTCCACCACCTTATCTTGAATATGAATGCAGTCTGCTGTTAAAGCTGAGAGTGTCCGTGTAGCTCAGTTGGTCTAATTCGAAAAAAAATACGACATATAGAATAGTCTTCCAGATTTAACCTCAAAAGCATGTAGGGCAATTCGTATACACATACATAAACACACACAGCCACACACACGCACAAACACGCATCTGACACGCAAATAATAAAAGCTCCAGTACTAAGAAGCTGGGTACAACATCTGACTGATGCACCTTTCAGAAACTGGCATACTGACCATCTCAGGGGATACTGAAAAGGGATTCTGTTGTTTTACGCAGCTAAAATATGTCCCCTACAATAAGGGAACCCCTGCTCGGAGGGCAGAGTGCCGTGCGCCTCCCGGCCGCTCGCCCCTCCAGCAACGCGGTGCGGGGATTGGCGCGGCTGAGCCGAGCCCGGGGCGGCAGCTCGCACCGGGGCTAAAGCCACGGATGCACCCTCTCCTCCTCCCCCAGCACCGCCCGCACACTTAACTACCAGTTCTTGCAAACAACACTTCAAATTACTCACTTAGCCCAAATTACTCCTGTATCGGCGCATCTAACTGTCATGTTGTTAATGTTTTACTTTACTGTAACACCCAATTTGAGCCCTTATTGCACAATATTTTGTCATTTACGCTGCAAAATAAATAAAGAGGGAGGCAGGGATTACTGTGAGTACAGGGGGAAGCTAAAACGCAGAGTTTCGGTGACAGCTTTCAGCAGCTCAGCGTGGCAGACGGGATAATATTGATACAAACTCTATTTTCTTTCATTTTATTGTTTTCCATCTCCTAATAAACCGGGGTAGCCTCTTGACCCCAGTCAGCTGATCGGAATCACATGCGCCGGGCTTGCTTTGCTGCTCTCCCCGTCTCGCCTCCATCTTCTCTCCCTCCCTTGGCGGTGGGAAAGGAGCCGAGTCGAGCCAAGCCGAGCCGGGGAAGCCCGGCAGCAGGCTCCAAAGGGCAGGATGATCGATCCGAAACGCCACTTTAAAGCCTCATCAATCTTCATCTAGGTTGCTCAAGTAATTACGCCCGATTCTCTTGTACGATTACAAGTGGATTTGGGTTTCTATTCCCCAGGCCCCCTTTCTTTGTGTTTACAGAAGGGGGGTCTGGGCAGCCAGCGGTTCCCTGCCCTGAAAAAGCCCTTGCCCTGTCAAGTAGAGCGTCTCCTACCCCTCCTCTCGCTCTTCCCGGGCCCACTTGGCCCGGCACACGGTGATGGGTTCCCGGGCCTTTGTGCGGGAAGAGAAGCGTCTGCGGAAGATTCATCCTGGAAGCGACCCGGTATTCTATCACTTTAAGGAGGCGTTTGTGGGCTTTGCTGAATCCCAGAAGGAAGAACATCAATTTAATCCAATTACCTCTTTTCCCTGGTGTTGTATGGCTAAAATAAAAATAAAGCCACCGCTATTTAATGGTCAAAAGGCCAAACCTTATAATCTGCCATGCAGAAGACAATGGTGCACCCCGGCTACCGAGAGTGTCAGCGACCTGCCCTCATGGACTGGAGGAAGCGGCAGAGCTGCAAAAGCAGGGGTGGATGTAGAAGGAAAGGGAACAGTCACTTCTTAGCCCATTACAGAATGCAGGGGAAATCGGGGATTTCTGGCTTTTTCCTCCCGAGAAAAGGCTCTGAGCTCCCAGACTGGTACCTTGGCATCTGCCCTGCATTCTGCTCAAATGACACCCTAGATTTGTTGCAATGTAAACATGTCAGAGGTATCACAATGCTGTACTTTCCAGATGAGAAAACGTTTCCTTGTGTTTGTTTTTCCTTTCAGTAAAAACAAAACCAAAAAACCCAAAACAAACCAAACCAAACAAACAAAAAAACGAGTCGAAAACATAAAAATAGCAGTCAAATTATGTAGTTTTCGGGAAGCGGGTGCCAAACAAAGCTTAAAAAAAACCTTAACAGATTTTTTTTCCCTCCTGAAAGCACAAAATGAAATTAAAAAAAAAAAATCGGTATTAACAGTGTGTCATTTTTACACTTGTCCTTTGGAAATCTCCAATTACAACTTGCAATTCCATAGCATGTTTAAGGAGCACTGAGTCTTTTTGTTGCAGCCTTCAG